AAGAAAAAAGTTATAATAACCGGAAATCCATGTATGAACTAAGAAGAAAAACAAAAAGGTGAATGCATAAGCGAAGAAAGATGTGAAAAAATCGCCTTAGGCAAGTTTATGAATATTGCCTCAAGGACTGAGTTTCTTTCTCAATGGACAAACACCAACAAAATGGAAATAAAAATCTACCTTTCATATTAGCAGCTTTTGTCACAGCTTTTGATTCCTCGTGAGCATCCTGAAGTTGAAAGATGATAAACATTATAGACAAATTATCCAACGGACATTAACCCTTTTGCTTGAACAGTAACATAGATATGACTGTATGTATTACTATTGTGTAAAAATTGCAGTCCCTAACTAAATAGTATTGTTATAGAGCTTCATGAACAATGAAGAACCAGAACACCAATAAGAATTTTGTGAAATCATGTTGATTCATAAAAATATTAGCTCAGAAAGAGAAGCTTACAAAAAACATTTTTCACGGAATACGTGAAGTTGGAGATTCTAAAATAAACGGGATTTATATTTAATTAACACAATCAGGAAAACTGGAAATTACATAATGCAGTATGTATGCTTTTTAAAGAAGTGGGAGATTACAGTACAAAAATATAAATAAATATACAAGTTAAAAGAAATAAATTCCAATGCCAACAACCCTGCTTCTCCAGAAGGAGTTCATCAGTCTGTTTTATTCCATAGAACTCAGAGTCTCATACAAACACAAACAGGTTACGGAATGACAAATTCATGCATACTCATGATCTACACGCATACCAATGTGAAGAATGAAAAGAAACGGAAAGAGCAGAGAAAGGATGAAAGCACAAACCTGGAGCTTTCTCAGTAGGATATTCAGTTTTTCATATTGCTTCTCAATCTCCTGAACCTAGAAAAAACAGAAGGCTAGTCAGGCATTATTCGTCATCTTTTTATCACTGAACGAAATAAATGTCCAATATAATAATTCTTTTCAAGATATGAGGGGGAATGTAATGCTAGCCACCTTCTTAAAGAAATTCTCCAAGCCAAGATCTTCTGAATTCGTTTGCCTCTCCATTCCCATTTCAATATCACCATTTCTATTAACTTCATCACGTGGGTTCACGAAGGAATCCTGCACATTAGACAGGATGTTGAGAAACAAAACAGTAGAGCATTTCTAGTAAATAAGCATACAGCATAAACAAAAACTGTAGACATGCCAACAGCTCATGATAAAGTGATTCCCTTACAATACAGATGCTTGAACAGAGATTACAAAACTTTATCACAAGAGATTGTGTACAAGTAATCATGTACAAGAGATTGAGCACGAACAGCACTTTGGGAAGCCAACTAAAAGTACTGGAGATTAAGCATTGTAAGGATAGACTTCGTTGCAACAAATTGTTGTAATCTTCAATATTTGATAACACATTCAGATACGCATAAAAAAAAAGACATTATCAATGCTTGAATGATAACAGATTTAATGAGGCATGTGCACTGGATATTAAAAGGGTTTGTAAATGTTCGAAATTTATATGCAGGGGAGCTTAGCAGTTTTTCCTCTTATTCAGCAAGCTGTTCCTTGTCTTTCTCAACCAATCAACCATCCAATTACTCTAGATTCAGCAAGCAATATGCGTTAAAATGGCAAAGTCCTATTGGTTCTAGTAAGTTGAACATTTGACGTTCTAGAAGCCTGTTGAAAAAGGCTTAATCTTGATGCTGAAGATGGGCATTAACTAAGGGAAACAAACGCATTTTTCTTTTCCAATGAATAGTAGATTTCAAATGAACATGGTTCTAAACTATAACAACTCTGACACTTCAAGACCTCATAGTTTCGCCTTGGATACCAATAAACAGTCTAATTGAAAATCATGTCAGAGCCGAATCTAGATATTTTTTTAATCAAAGAATATCATTGGGTTTCAAAATTCATAGCCTTGACTCAATGATGTTACAATATACGCAATCAACTTTCCAACTTTGAGGATAAACTCACCCGCCGAGAGTAGACATATGCCAAAATATATGCAAAATCATAAAGATA